GATTTTAGAGCAACTACTCAAGACTTTTTTCCGAGATTTGTACAAGGAACATACAGTGCTTTATCGAAAAACTATCTCTTTCTGTGGATTATAATTATGTATCTGTTTGTTTTTGCGATATAATTAAATATAGGGGAGTCAAAAGTATGCCTACGAGGGGATGAAAGTTCAGTTAGTCCGTGAAAGGTGGTCTCTTGAGTCCACAAACCTCTTTGACAGTTTCTGCCTGCAAATCCTGATTTACAACTGCATCGATAACTGCCGGGAACATTTTGACATAGAGCACCGTTTTTGCAAGGAGAACCTGTGCACTCGTCCACATCTGTATATATAATCAAAAATCAGTTCTCTATTTAATAACAAGTAGATTCAATGTTGTCGTGCCTCTCTTATAGATCACGGATGACATCTAAATGTAAGAAACAACATCAACAACAAAAAACAAGGTTTAGCTATAAAGTGTGTCACTAATGTTATAACCACATTGTGATGTTTTTATCATGTTACTGTACTGACCTCCGGACACCGAATCTAGTTGTTTTATAAAATAGAGAATCAGAAAACTGTTTATGATGATGATCATACATGATAAAGAAATGACTAAAAAAATCCAAATGAAGGCAAGATGAAAGTTTCTGTACTTAATGAAACTTTTCAGCCTAACACATAGCTCACCAGTTTGACAGTTTCGTCCAGTATATCCAGATTTACACTTGCATCGGTAACTTCCAGGAATATTTTGACAAGTAGCACCGTTCTTACAAAGGATTTTAGCACACTCCTTGATATCTAGATAACAAATTAAAAGTCAAAAGAACTTTAATTGTGCTGACCACAATTTCCTTTCGTTTGGTTTTTAAATATATAAGACTATCAGAAATAAAAACTGGTGTAACATGGAAATATTACGATCTTAATTTGGATGCAACGAGAAGGACATATCGTGTAGGAATTCAGCAATAACTTCACGTTAGACTTGTTGCATCCTTCTTTGGTTTCAAAACAATCAGGAAACTTGCTAAATACGTTTCCGGATGAAAAATTAATGAGATTAACTCCTGCCAGAGATATTGCAAAGGTAGTGGAATGAAAAAAAGAGCAGGCTAGCTGACCTATACCTGCTTTACATCTGCACAGGTTACTCCCGGGAAT